TTTTCCACAAAAATCATTACTTAAGAATCCAATTAAAAGTTCTAGGGTTTGCCCAAAAAAAAATGAATTTCTTACCTTGATATAAATGGAAACTAGAGGATTAATAAACTTGAGTTCCACTATATCATATATCCTATAAATCTGAAAATTTTACCACAACTTAAACCTTAGAAATTTATCATAATAATCTTCCATTTCTAAAGAAAATCACAAGAATAACAATGAAAATTCAACTTCAAAACACCCACTTTACCTTTTCCTTCCTTTCCCTTTTTCCTTCCTCCTTTCTTCTTCTTTTTCCTCCCTTTTTCCTTATTTTTCTCCCTTCTTTCTCGGTCAGATGGTCTCTGCGTGTGGGGGTGTAGTGTGAATGAGAAAAGTGATTTTGAATTGGTAAAGTTATGGGCTATTTGCAAAGGTAGTCCCATAACTTTCATATGATGTATAAGTAAGTCTTCCACTTCAATATTAAACCATCTTAACCCTCAATTTTTTTAAATATAACATAAGTCTCAAAAAAAAATTATTCCAATTAAGTCCATATTGACTTTGACCTTGACAATTCAACCATTGACTTGGACTAATGAAAATGGGTTGTAACACTGGTGGTAATAAAAAGTAAACTTTATCTTCCAAATCACCATAGAGGAAGACATTATTGACATTAAGATGGTAGATGGACCAACCTTTAGAGGTTACATTGGCCAATAGGGCAGCAAACTGTGGGCATTTTTGCAACCGGGAATAAAATTCTCGAAGTAATCCTCCCCTTCTTTTTTTGTATATCCCCCTGGCTATAAGGCGTGCCTTATGTCTCTCAATGGTACATCCGCCTTGTATTTCGTTTTAAACAACCATTTGCCTCCACAGTCTTTTTACCTCTTGTAATATGGTCAGTTCCTAAGTGTTGTTTTCTTCAAAAGTCATGAGTTCATTTTGCATAGTTGTTCTCTAGTGAGGGTACTGGCTAGCAGTGGAAAAAGAGATAGGTTCAGGCTCTGTGGTGATGGCTAAGCTGAAGGTACGGTGAGCAGGATACATGTTATCATAATTTGGAACAGAGGAAATAAAATGAGATTTACCTTCATCCATTTGCTGTGCAGTAGGAGAACCGTGTGGTTTTGCTAGAGAAGTTACAAGTCGACAATGGAAATCTTGGAGATAGCTAGGTCACCATCTCTGTCTAGTTGATCTTCTCAGCTCAAAGGCATTGTGTGTTGGTGCTAGAAAATTCATCTCAAGGTTGTTGTGTCACTTTGGTGGTAGTGCTCTACGGGTGGGTTGATTACAGGGATACTGCTGGTATGAGTACGTACTGCTGGTAAATGATTATAATATTCTGATATGGGGTTGGGTATTACAGGCTAGTTATCAAATCTTGAGAGATGAGGTGTTTGTAAGAGTGGTGGTGGTTGATTCGTATTTTGAAAAGGAAAGGTATTTTCATAGAAGACTACGTCACGGCTAATAAAGGTTTCTTGAGTCTCTAAGTCAAAGAGTTTGTAACCTTTTATGCCATTTGGGTATCCTATCAATAAACACCTACGTGCTCTTGGATCAAACTTGGATCGGTGGGGATTGAGATTTGATGCATAGCATAGACATCCTAGAGTCTTTAGGTGATAATATGAAGGAATTTTGGAAAAACTAATTTGGTACGGGGATCATTTTGGGTGATTTGTAGAAGGGATTCTATTTATTAAATATGCTGTTGTGATAATACATTCTCCCCATAATTTTAAAGGAAAATTGTCTTGAAATCTAAGAGCTTTTGCTACATTTGGCAAGTGTAAGTGTTTTCTTTCTACAACAGAGTTTTGTTAAGGGATATAGATGCAACTTTGTTGGTAAACTACACCTTTTGAAAGAAAGAATTCTGTCATTTGAAATTATTTTCTTGATCGGATCTTATTACTTTAATCTGACATTGAAATTGATTTTCAATAAGATTGAAAAAACTCTCTGAGATCTGCCTTGTTTGGCTTTTAGAATGCATGAGGTAAATCCATGCCATTTTACTATGGTTATCAACAATTGTAAGAAAGTAATGAGCACCATTGAATGAACTAACAGAGAAAGGTCCCCAAATATCCATATGATTTAGATCAAAAGGTGCATCAACAAATTTTTTACTCTTCGAAAAAGACAAATGATTGTTTTGCCATATGACAAGTTTCACAATGATGCAACAAAATGAGGAATATTAGGCTCTATACTGTACAACAAACTGAGGCGTTGATAGGAAGGGTGTCCTAATCGCAAATGCCACGATTTTGGTGTCAAAATAGATGAAAAGTTGGCCACGGGATGGTGAGATCGCATCTTGTCCCCGAGCTGATTCTTCTCCAAAAAAATAGAGCCCTTGTTTTTCTCTAGCAATTCCAATCGTCCTCCAACTGTTCAGCTATTTGATTTTCTGAGTTGTTGCTAGATCGGGTGGAATTTTGGCATTGCAAAAGGGCTATAAGCCGATGTATCTTATCTGGTGAGATGTTCAGACTTGACACTCTCGATCCCTCTTTTGAGGATGTATTGTTGGCCTTCTTTTGCTGGGTTTCGCTTCCAGATTTTAGTTCATGAAATTTGTAGTTTCGAAGGTATCCATAGATTTCCCAAGAAGTTTCCATGGTATGGTTTGTTCTCTCGCGTTTTGTGCACGATTCTTTCTCCTTAGAACCCAATTCTTTGTAGTTTCCTTTTGTGTGCTTGGGATTTCCCTTCTGGTTCTGAGTCTTCCCACTGTTAAATGCCATTGCTACAGATTCTGAAACATTTTAGACATGGTTAGTGAGCTCATGATTAGCCTCCTCTTATAAAATAAGGTTGAACACATTATCTAATAAGGGCAGCTAGTCCTTCATTAGAATCTGATTCCTTAGGCCAGCATAAATGACATCCAATATCTCAAGGAATTGTATGATTTGCTTTCTCTCTAGCCTTTTGTTCAGTACCGAAATAGCACCACAATCTATTGCTGAACATTTGAAAGGCTCCTCTTACCTCAGTATCTCTTCCCAGATGAATTTCTCCTTAGAAGAGTAGACACTTGCTGGTTTTATTTTTTAAGTTGCTAGCAGTCACTGTTCAAGCATAAAGATCTTGTTATTGCTTGATCTTGCAAATCTTTTCTTGACCTCACTCCACACTTCTGATGAAGAGTCAGATAACATAGTATATTTGTCAATCTCAAATGAGAGGCTGTTGGTGATCCAAGATAGGATCATGTGGTTGTATCTCTGCCATTGTGAGTATTTGGCATTGGTATCAGCAGGCTTTGTCATAGTTCCATCGACGAAGCTAGATTTGTTTTTGGCTAAGAGGGCTACATATATAGCTCTACTCCAAGCATGATAGTTATGATGGGTTAATGATTGCGAGACTAAAACAAGTCGAGGGCTCTCCCCATGATTAGAAAATAGGGATTGGAAAATTCTTCTGCAGATTAGTGAGAAAGTTCATTTGCAGGTTGGTGAGGTTCAGCCATGACAAGGGTTGGGGAGAAAGAAGATTCAGATGTGAAGATGGATATTAGGATTGATAAAATATAGAGATTCAAAGCTCTTGCTATGATACAATGACAAAGAGAGAATATTTTGGTTTGGTTACCCAATTGGTTGCAAAGGAATTCATATTTCTTAAGATTGTACAAAATATTACTCCTAATGTAATATGCTGACCTAGATGTTATAAATTACATAAGATTGACATTTAATTAACCGTCACACAACACGATATATCACCCATCTTAAACTTACGAACTTTAGCACGTTTTCACGTGTCAAGTATTCATTAATTTTAATGTCCAGACCAACATAATATGTTAAGTTAGGCGACCTAATTGATAGTTGAATGAGTTGATTGAAATAATGTAAGATAAATGACACAGATGCAACTCTGCTCAAAATTGAATGACCCACACTGCATTTAACCATCATATAAATAATTTTAAGCAAAAAAAAAAGATATTGTGCTGATGAACGTATATTACTCGTGTAATTAAAGTAACCCTTATTTATTTTCATATTAAACAAATAAATTGTGCGCAAATTTACATTCAACTTACTTATAGACCAGAAAATAGATAAGCGAAATTTTAAAAAAACCGGTCATTTCTTGTATTTCTGCTTGAGAAAAGCAAAAGAAAAAAGCAAATAAATATCTAAATTTGTAGAAATAAGATAAATTAAAATAAAATAGTAAAAACTCATTTCCAATCTGCTACGAAAAGGGGCCCTAAAAGTACACATTAGATAGAAAAAAAAATGTTGACACATATTACACACTTGAGTAGAAAAGTTAACCGGTCTCATACAAAGCATTTAAGTTGATTCATAATTTCAATCAATGTCAATTGGACACTAAAGAATGAAATTTTCGTTCATGCTTGGTGTACACTCCAAACTGGCAAACTGTCATTTGCCAATGTAAAAAAGAAAAAAAATTATCCCACCCACAATTTTTTGAAAACAAAGGCAATGTCAACGATTTGAAGGGAAGAATGTACAAATGGCAAAATCCGAAAATTTTAACTTCATTCCATCAAACGTTGTCTAATACAATGGTTGATTCCTGTGCTACCATGATCATAGCTGTCCCCACTAGAATCAAAATCTTCAGTTGGATCTCCACCACGCTGTTTTGTAGGGAGGGGAGGGGAGGGGAGGTGAGGGGGTTGATACAACACAAAATGAGGTCATGCAGATACTTGTGGGTATTCAAAGCAGCCAGAGCAATCATAAATAAATGTAGCAGCCATCAATTATTTTGTTATGCATAAGAAAGGCTGGAAGTCCGTATTTCCTATGGACGACTGGCCAATGTTAAAAATCCCAAAAATTTCAAGAATAACAGATTCCATTGTTGCCAAAGCAACCATAACAATAAAGGTTCATCAAATGCAAGCAAAAGACAGCTTTTGAATCCACAAGCTCAAGAATATACTATGCAAATTCTCATCATATTAACAGATTTTACTCTGGCATGAAAAATGCAAACTATAGTCAGTGATGGTCGTCGTCATCATCGCCATGTCCATCGGGAGATCCACCCGGGCCAACCACTTCCAACTGCCAACCAAGAAAAAAATGAATAAGCATTTAGCCCCTATTTGTTTTTAACTAAAATTAGATTTTTAGTAAATTTTGATAAAAGATGAAATGTATAATTGAAAAGTTGATAAAAGTTGTCGATGCCATGAAAAATGTGATTAAAATTAATTGTTGATTTTGATTTAGACTTTTGTCAACATTTTTATATAAACCAAAGAGGCTTATAGGATAATCAGGATCATCAACGTATACGAACACAGAAGCAATGAAATCGAAGCCCAAAGGTCCGCAATCTGAAGAATTTACAATTGATTTGAAATAATGAAACAAAAGTATTCATCATCTAAAAATCACAAAAGAAAAACAATATATGGCAAGCCTAACTATGGCATAGATGGTTAAATGAGTCTTTAATACCACCATGAATATTAATTATAAGCAGGTGTTCTAAGTTCTAACAGATGCTCCTGTGAATTAAGGTTGAGGTAGAATGTGGATTCAGTGCATGCAAATGTTCATTATGTATATTCAGAATTTTTATCTACATATCAACATAAAAATAATCATTCAAGGGTACTCATGTATTTACCACAAAGTACTGTGAGCATACTGGGCATTCATGTGGTTTTCCCTTCTCTAGCCAGAACCAAACAACATCATGTTCGTCCTCTGTTAGATATTGGAGCAAAGAAATGGTCAAAAGCCAGTAAGCAGTGAGCTAAATTGACTCCAAATTACAATTACTGCATTATTAACAAAAAGCAAACATGTAATTGAGACTTACCTCCATCAGCACCAGGGCATCCTACAATTCTTTTGTCATAGTAAGACTTTATGACAGCAGGTTCTTCCTGCAAGCAAAAAAGATAAGGTAAACATCACACATACGAATCATTAGAAGAGATGAGAACAAATCAAGTCAACTATGTTGGTTGGGTTTCCTTTTAATGAGTGGTGGATAAGTAGGTTTTAGTTGTGGGTCATATAAAATGTGCAATAAAAATTAATGTTTAACTTTGAAAAGTAAATTATAAGGAACTAAAAAGGAAACCCAAACAAAGCTTTGTCAAAACATATAAAAATATAAAAAAGTCAACTGATAGCAGCTACATTCATATATAATGGCTTTAATTAAATATGCTCAAGCAGTTCAGGGTTGGCTCAAGCCAGGATTGCCTATAGCTCGTTCACTCTCAGCTCAAGAATGAAACCAGCTAGCATGAGCACATTTCAAAATCGTATAATATTCGAACTCGGCTCCTCAACCCACAAGCACCAAATATAGCGACAATTAACCAAATTGCTCACAAAGTCTTTAATTTGAGAAGCGAATGGACATGAGGTGGAAGGAGGAACACATTGTCCCGGAAAAAAAAAAGTGTTACTCCTGATTCAGAAATGCGGCTTGGTCCATTTGAAATTCTCAGAAGCGTGGATTGGAATCTTTTACCTGGGGTGGCAAAAGGGATGGACAAGGTTATTCAACAAGTAGCAAAATGCACAACCCATATATTATTTAGCCCCTGTTTGTCTACCATTATTTCAAAAAAATGTTTGTTACAGTAAGATTTTCCATTACACATTCACCTAATAAAATAATCTACACACAAACCAATAAATTTACTTTACTTTTCAACCACACATTCTCCAATAAATACTATTCATTACTTTATTTTTCTCCAAATAATGGAAGACAAACACACCCTTAATCTCTAAGGCCATCAGGTACACTCGAGTCATTTTATATGGCCTCATGCTTAGTCTTAGCACTTACAATTTCATTAATCAAGAAACAATAACATAAAGAACTTCATATACAACACCGTTATATTGGCTCCTCGAAGCAAGTGCATATGATAAGACTTAAACATACATTTAATTCCTATTACAGGTCAGGATGAATTTTAATCTCAAATTTTTAACTTCCTCTCAGTTCACAAAGTGAGAACGTCTTAGCTTAGATGCTCAATGTTTTTTTTTTTTAATAACCGTGGATGTTCGGGTCAGCTTTGCGCGCACCTCAACTAATTTTACGGGGCCCTGAAGTTTACGGACGGGTAATCACCTCAGTGGTCCTGAGGGGACTCGAATTGGTGACCATTGGGGAGCAAACCCAATGCCTGACCAATTGAGCAACCCCTCAGGGTTTAGATGCTCAATGTTATGCAGTACGGATTGACAACAATGCTTAGTAAATTCTATGAGCTTCATCCTAGCAAAAGGAATATGCTAATTTTCATTTGACTCCTAATAACATCATTACCATAATTATTCCTAGTTTGATCGTAAGTACATTGATGAGGTAAGGAGCAGTATTGTCTCTTTTGAGATTTTGTACATCAAATACTATTCACTATACCTTCATGGACGAATGCTGGCTTTAGGTCTATGGGGCTCATGTGAATCATTGTCGTAAAACGTCAATAACCTAGATGATGCCTAGATGAATGAGCATGTGTAATAATAGATCTACTTGTGAATCCTTAAGACACATATGGTTTGGGGGAGTTTCGAGTGCTTGTGAGTTCTTTTACACTTGTGATGCTTACTAGGAAGAGGGTCTCCCAATAAACAATGTAAATCTATACTAGGTGTAGCTAGAGTGGAGCATCTTTCCATGAATTTCGATTAGTTTGTAGGTCTTTGACAAGGATTATGAGAGCCTAAACTTTCTCCTACACGTTTATGTAGGATTTTTAAATTCATCAAGTTTTATGATGACAGAAATCACAAATTAGGGGAGGGTAGAGTGGAGACGATGATAATTGCTCTAGACAATGTTGCATTCTACCATGCAAAAAGCTTTTATCTCTCTAATTGTTTCCATCGATCACTCTTTTCCATTCTACATCAATTGGTATCAAAGACTATTTGTTTCTCTAATTGGTGCCCTAGCAAAAGCTACCATTCACGATGTTATTTGTGAAATAGCCTTTCAAAAAATTACTAGTCAAGTTCAGTGAACGGTAAATGGATGGTTAGAAAAGGAAATTTAAAGCATGTTTGGCTAAACTTAAAATCCAATTAAAATTGAAAATATAGCTGTTATTGGGTCTCACTTGCATAATAAAAGTCAACAATAACGGCTAGTTTTTCAAATTTAATCTCTACCGAACACGCCCTTAATGTTTTGATCCAAATATATTATATCAACAAAGACGGTAGCTTGCTACAGTCATTTGCTTTTCGGCTGGGAAATGATGGAATTTTATTGAAAAATACCAAAAATACTCAGTTTCTGATTCTTCAATTTTTCTCCTCTCTCTCTTCTTCTTCTTTCCAATTTCTCATTTTACATCTAGTACATAGGTTTAGATGAGCAGCACCAAACACTAGATATGTCACAAAAATTTACAGAACCAAAATAGAATGTGCTTCTGTCATTTATAGGAATCTATAGTTGTTAGTATCTCTCATGATACATTGATGGTGTCAAGTGAGAAGGAAAGTTTCATGTGTAGGCTCATCAAGCGGCAAGGACAAGGATAAATGGCAAAGGATATACAATAACTTTGCGCAAATTTATCAACTCGTAAAAACCAAACTTCATCTCACACCATATTTGATGAGTTGGGCATCTATAATTATGAAAAAAGGAAGATTTCTTAGTGTTATCTTCTACTATGATGCTCGAATTCGGGTATGGGTATCAAATACGAGTACATATCTAAGTGTCGAATATTTTGTTTTCTAAAATATAGGATATGAGGATATGGCAAAAAAGAGTCCAAATTTTGGACATGAGTACGTAGGTATATCTTTCAAACTTCAATTATGTTTTTTTCTCCATAAATTCACATGTAGAAAGTTTAATAATAATTAAGTGAATTTTAATTAGAAAAAAAGTTGAATGACTAAAATGAAAATTTAATCAAAGTATGGTCACCTCCAATGAAAATCTTCCTAATCAAACTCCAACTTACAGCAAATGTCGTATCATATGGGGCTGAGGCAAAATGGATTTCTAACTGTAATTAACCTCAGCAGCAGATAATGGGCCTAATATTTTAAAAAAGGCCCAATTCAACAAAAGGACCACAATTAAAAAAAAAAAAAACCCAACAAACTCATCATCTTGCCTTTCCCTACTCTTCGCTTCACGCAATTGGCGGTGGCAGTGTCCTCTGCGAGTCTTCATCCTCCAAGCTGTAAATTCGGGCGAAGCAGCAATGGCGGCTATGCCACATTGCGAGCTGTTGGCTCCGCAGCCGGTGGCGATTCATCAAACTGAAATTCAGAGAAGAAGCCAGCTTCTTCGTTGTCTGTCAAGTCAAGATTTGCTATGCCCGTTGCTTTTTCCCATGTCCGCCCCCATAACCCATACCCTTATCCGTGTCGTGTTGGGTCGTACGGGTATTCCAGCCGAAATAGAGAGTTCAAGCATCACAGATCTTTTATACAACATTCATGCTATTGCATAATAGCCCAATATGTCATTACTATTGTAAATGAAACAGTTTAGTTCTGGACCAGTTAAAAATGTTGATATAATGAAGCTTTTCCAACTTTCCCAAAATATAGATATTCTAGAAGTAAGACGTAACTCATCGGTTAAGTAAATTAGCTAAATAAAATAAAATTCATTTCAAAAATGAACATGAAAGTTGCTCCAAAATGCATAAATGTATTACGTAAAAGCATTCATGGTCTTCAAGAGCAACTATAGCAAATTTGTGCAATTCAATTAGACAACACAAGTGATCCCAAAACTTAACCAAACAAACACCATCACAATTTTTTACACAATGAAGTACACGATATATATTTTATCGGGGCCGTAACAAATAACAAGGATATTTAGAGTTAGCACCAAAAGCAGACTAAATTTAAGTTTCACAAGAATGGAAAGGCCCTCTTCAACTAAAACTTATCATATATTATTATCTAATGAAAACATAAATATTGTTAAACTTGTACGCCGTCTGAAACTGTATGCACTACTTATTAAACCGTATGCTCTCTTCTCCCCTCAACTTGGTTACTTTTTCTCTCTCCTGTTTAATTTGTGCAGACATGATGTTTTGATAACTCATGGTAACTGAGCAAAAACTGAAAATTTACAAAAAGGAACACATGATAACTCACATTATGATAACTCATGTACATAATTTACAGTGTTTTATTGTACTCAATGCTCACATTTCAAATTAATCATATTCACAAATTTTCACTCTCATATTTCCACTAGGCACATCAGCTCATTACTATCAAATGTTAATTACAACAAACTAATGGTGAAATCATTCCAAACAAATAAATTATCCAGGCAAATTATTATAAAAACTACAGAAATCATACTGACCTTCGTTCCAAATGGACCAGCAGGATAGTTAATTTCCAGAAGGTCCTTCCCCTAATCAAAATAATTGAGCAATACTTATCAAATATGAATGAGGGTACCAAAAATATTTTCTTTATTTCAATACAAAAGCCCCCGAGAAAAAAAATTATGATAATTTACTTCAAGCTCAGCTGCAAGCTCTTCATGCTCATGACCCGTAGCAATAGGCATTACATCCTCCACTCTTTTCTTTGTAGTTACATTGCCTATTAACAAATTTCGAAAAAAAAAGACATAAATATAAGCACACATACATCCCCTAAAAATAATTTATACATATATGAATGTACACATACAGAGGAAATTAGGGTCTTGGGCAGAGAAATACCAGATTCAGCACTAAATTGGCGACAGGTGATGGGAAAGGATTGACGAACCGGTGCTTGAGCCGGAGAGGAAGTAAATCGTCTGGGTCTGGGGGTGGATCGGATCGGGGCGAGAGTCCGGTGCTGGAAAAATAGTCTTCTCCACATTTTTTCTTTCAGGCGTCAATTAGGGTTTGGGATTTGTTCTCAGGTCACCAGTCCTGGAAGGTGAGATCAATACACACACTGTTCGAAATTTCAAAGAACGAGAAATGGCGAATGGGAAATGAAAGAGTGTAGGCTGCGTTGGGAGTGTGATTTGGGTGGCACAGTGCTGCAGTTGGCATTAATACGCTCGTGTGTGAATGAATCCTTTTTCATTTTGTTTTGGGAAAATTGCACTAGTGTTTCCAACTCAAAGGATAATAGCAAGTTGGTCCCTAATATAAGAAACAGTGCAAAATCACCAACCTATTAAAATAGGCATAAACCTAATCCTTGTGGTTAGAGGTGTCAATCCGAGTGGGCCAATAGGCATAAACCTAATCCTTGCGGTTAGAGGTGTCAATCCGGATGGGTCGGGTCGAGTCGGCCTGCCAACATATTATCCGGTAACGGCCCACGTGAAAAAAAGCCAGCCCGCTACGGGTTCCGGGCAGGTTCCGGGTTGGCTCACAAATTTTGGATTACAATCAAACCCGCCCACTGACCCATCAGGGTCGAGCCCATACGGGTCGCGGGTCAAGGGTCGCGGTTGTTCCAAGAACTTTTTATATTGATAGCAATTTTTTTTTTGTTAAATGTAAACTAAGAATTGAACAAAATGATAAATACATATTTATACCAAAAAATGTTTACATAGAATTCAAATTTAATAATTGAAATTTAACAACTAAATGCATTTCTAATTAAGTAAATATATATATTTATAGCAAAGTACATTCCAACTAGGTTGTCACCTACTTTTGCTATAATTTATAATTTAAGTATATCCCAACTAGATTGTCACTTATTTAAGTCTTAAATATTAACTATAATTTAGTTATTGAAAAATTATATATTTGTTTCTCAATCATTCTTCATGAACTGTAAGATTTTTGAAATATTCAGCAATATCATCATTAATTTTATCTTGCATCCTTCGATCACATATGAGAGCTTCCAAAATATCTTCTTTAAGTCTAGATCTTCGTTCGTCCAATACCCTATTACCTGCACTAAAAGCAAACTCGGATGTCACTGTTGAGATTGGAACTGTTAGTATATCTCGTGCTATTTTAGATAATGCAGGGTATGACCGCTCTTTAATTTCCACCATCGTAAAATATCTAACTTATCCACTTCATCTTTAGGTATTAAACTATAATGGTCAAATTGATAATATCTTTCTGATTCAGCAAGCGTGGTATGTGGATTTGCAGTTGAAGTAGTAGATGAAGAATTAAGAACATTACGTTTCTTAGCTATTATAGAGAAAAAAGAAGATTTGCCTTTAGAAATTGTACTAGAGATTGGAGAAGAAGATATATTTTCATTGTTACCATATTTAATAAAATAGTTGTTATACATTTCATTAATAAAAATTTTCAATTGTCGATTTGTAATATTTATGTTAAAAGTCAATGTTTCAGAAAGTGATTCTAAAGCACAATGAACTCCAAACAACTTAATGCGAGTATCCATTACACCTGTCACTGGAAAAATTAGTGGCATGTTTTCATAATATTTTTTTAAACTTTTCCTCTATTGAGTAAATAATTTCAAAGAAAAATGGATCGTCTCTAAATGATAAAAACTGTCCAACAATTTCTATTAATTGTAAAAGTGCAAGATTACTAGTTGAATAATAAATTTCAGAACCAACTTTTGTTGCTTTATAGAAAAGTTTCAAAATTTTAATAACTTTAAATGCTTTTTTCCAATCCAAATCAGTTATATAAAATTTATTTTGTTTTGAATTAACAAATACATTAATAGCATTAGTATAACCAATACACGATTTTTAACATTAAAAAAGTTGAATTCCATCTATTAGGAACATCATCAACAAATTTTCTTCTTCTCAATCTAAGATTTTTACAGATTTTTGTAAATTCTTGTTGTCTAAAATCTGAACAAGAAATATAATTAATAGATTCTCTAATTATACTTATTTGTCGTGTTATTAATTTCAAACCATCTTGTACAACTAAATTATTTAGAATCATATGGAGGTGTAACCGTTCTAATTAAAAGCTCAATGCATACAGTATTAGCACTTGCATTGTCAAAGGTAACACTAAATTGTTTACTTAACCCACCAAATTCATTAAAAACTTGTAATAAATTTTCACACAAATTTACACCATTAAATGGATATTCAAGTAAACGAAAAGCAATAATTCTCTTATGCAACAACCAATTATTATCAATGAAATGTGCTGTAACACAAGTATAACCATTATGATTTCGTCCATACCAACAATCAGACGTGAAACACATAATTCCATCAATTTTTTTAAAATCATTTTTTAAATTCTCAGCCATTGTATGAAATAATTTTATAGAATTAGAACGAGCAGTATTTCTACTTACGCTCCTGTAAGAAGGTTGAATGTATTTTCTGCAGGAAGTCTTCAAAATACTGATCTTCTGTAAATGTAAAGGGTATCTCACGAGCTACTAAAAATTCCGACATCCCAACTCGCATTCGTTCTTGCGAATAAACAAAATTAGAAAAAGTAACTGATCCACTAGCATTAGTAAAACCAGTAATCCGAGTTTGTCTAGGATCCAAATGTCCCATTTCATTTAGATGTTTTTCTTTGTGTCTCCGAAGTGTGTTGGTGGCTTGACCATTTTTTTACAAATATTGTATACAACTTTTCCACCATTTTCATTTACTGTAAACATTTGCCACACATCCGATATTTTTTTTCCTTGAATTTTGAAATGATCCAACTTCTACAACATTATCATCTTCTAAATTTATTGGAGAGCAACTATCATTAAAAATAGGATTTTGAAAAGAAGAATCGCGAGAATCCATAATATAGTAGAATTAAAAAGTTTAGTAATGACTAGTGAGAATTGAGAAGAAAGAAATATAATGAAGATGATGATGATATTTGCAATTGAATAATTGTGATTGTAGTAAGGTAGTAACAAGTATGAACTATTAAGTATAAATGTATAATAACTAATGAGAGGGTATTGTAAAAATAATTGTAAGAATAAATTGAAATTTATAGATGAAGGGGATGATATTACCGTTATTAAAATTTAAAAAAAATTAAAATTTTTTTTTTACCATGCTGGCAGGAGCCAGCTGCAGCAGGCTCCTGCCTGCAGCGCAGCAGGCTACGCCTGCTGTTGGTACTTGGGGGGACAGAGCCGTTTGGCTCTCTCCCTCCCTACCCCCCCGCCCCCCCTTAAAAATTTTTGTTTTATTTTTTTTTTCAATTTTTTTTTACAACCCATGGCCCGTGGGGGAGTAACCTGTGGAGCCCGTGGGTTACACCCCATTGGCTTGTATTGGCTTGTGAACCGCCCGCACGGGTCGGCCCGCGGTCCCGATTTTCACGGGTCTGGCAGATCCGTCCGTTTTGACACCTCTACTTTTGGTTTATAGTGAAGGTAGGCGGACATGGTATTGATTACATAGCGGGTGTGGAGGCATGAAGTGGTGGTATTGATCGTAGCAGCTAGGTTGGGATGGGGGAATTGCTAGTGGTCGATTTATTTATTTATTTATTGAGAGAAAGAAAAAAAATACTTAAACTATGAAAGGATAACGTAAAGTTATAATGTGAAAAAAATTACATACATTTTAACACGATTATATAGAATGTAGGTTCAATAATTATAGTTTATTAAATATAAAATTTTCCAAATCTCACTGGAAAAAAAGTTGAAAACACGTAATTTTTTTTTATCGAAAATGCGTAATATGAAAAATTGCATACACAGAAATTATAGAAATGTTATATACATATCAAATATTACACTTGATTTTTGAAATCTTATGTATTTACACGGTTTTCAATCTCAGGCCTGAATTTTCCCATAAAACTCTTATTGGAATATTACTAAAAAAATGATCTTATCAAAATTTGCTATTATTCAGATAGAGGTTATTTGTAATGAGCTCTTAGATTTTGATCTTCACCATTTGACCTGAAAAATAATGTGTTTTAAACATGCTGTCCAAATTGCATGATGATTGGACCATGTAAAATTGAGATATCAAAGACTTGATAGGCTAGTTGAATCTCGTGGATTCATTGTCGTTTCTATCGATTTTATCTCTTTTGGGGGGTTGAATTTGGTTTCTCGTACACACCAATTCTCTTCTCAATTTATCCAATAAATCTCTTCTCAATTTATCCAATAAATTTAGTAATTAAGACATCAACAAGATGTTATATATTGTTCAATATTAATAAAATAAAAATGGAATGTAGAAGGAAGATGAAATGGTAAAAGGAAAAGAAAAAAATTTTGAACCATGCGACACCATGGAGTCGCATGGGTATTTATCAAGACTTAATGTCTCGGTATGGATTGTACTATGCGACTGCATGGTACAAAATTTTGGCCGCTTTGGCAGTTTTTGACAGTTGGTATTTTTGAACTTGGTGCATTTTCACGTATTTTTTGGCACTATTTCATGCATCTAAACTTGGCCTATATATAGGACATTGGTGTTCATGGATTGAACATGAAAACAAGTGAAGTTCATTTACATTCCAAATCAAAGATTTAAACTCTTTCTTTCATTCATATTCATCATTTTCCTTTGTATTCTTAAGTTTTCAAGGATTATACTTAATTGATTGAGTATTAACCCTTGCAAAGCTTGTTTAAATCCTGCAAACCATTTGACATCATCCCTTCAAGTATTAAGTCAATCCTAAAGGGGACAAATATTGTTTGAGAACAACGGTATCGTGATCAAGTCTTTGGTGGAATTCTTCAAGTTTAATTTCTTGGTTTCAAGTTTGTGATTTGTTGCTGTATATTTTGGTAAGTTTCTTCTCCAACACCGTGGTGTCTCCAACACAAGAATTTCTAGAGGAACAATCCTTTTTCTTTTCGTTTTCTTTCTAGAACAAGGAAAGACAATATGCAAGATTTCCTTGATAATTTAGGGCTTTAATTAAAATTTGTAGTTTCCATCCCATTTATTA